GGGTTTCCAGGGATTGTGGCTCCAGCATTCCAAGGCTAAAATGTTGGCGTTTCTGTGAAACTGGCGGGAGAACCTTTTTTTCCCATCCTGGTTTTCCTGGGAAGGGAATGTGGGATGTGGTTCAGTGCTGGGTTTATGGTTGGACTTGATGATCTCAGAGGGCTTTTCCTACCTAAACAATTCCCTGATTCTATTTTTTCCCAGGCCTTGGCACATATCCCCACACGTGTCTCCCATGGAGAGATGCCCTCTGGGATGGGATTTCAATGGGATTTTAGCCAAGCACACCCATCCTACAGCACATCCACTGTCATAAATTCCCAGGGTGCTCCCCTAAAACTTTACAGCTCCGAGAATGATTGTGGGAAAAAGCTGAGCTTCAGAGTTGAGTGAGTCCATTTATTTTTATAATCTCAGGTCTGGGTGTTCTCCCAGGCTGGAGGGTCACGGGTGAGCTCATAAAAGGCTTTCAGAGAAAAATGGAGATGGTTCATTGATCCTCCTGCCCTTCCATTGGGACTTCCCAGAGTTTTTTGTTGTCAGGAATTTTATTTTTTAATAAGTTTGCTCTTCAAAACATCCTGTGGTGCCTGTTGGGCACTGTGGGTCTGTGAGTGTGGATCAGAAGGGATTCCAGAGGTGGGAATTGTTCCATCTCTCCCCCAAAAGTGATATATTGTAAATCTCCTCTCTTTGCCCACACAGTGCAAATGATGAAACTCAGCACACAGGATGTGCCATTCTCCCCAAATCCAGAGCAAAACCCCCATTTTCCAAGGTTTCCACTCTGGATTATCCCCATTCCTGCTTCTGGGATGGGTCAAGAGCTTTATTGGAGCGTAGGATGTTGTCAGAGCCTGGATTTCTCCCAACATGGAGAAATTTCCCTTCTTTTCCCTTCATGGAGAACATTTCCCTTCAACACTGTTTTTCTCCCACAAATGCCTCAAAACCACACCAGGATCCTACAGAGCATTCCCAAATGATTTGAGAGAGACCTTCCAATCCCAGTCACAGCCACCTGACAGAACACAAGTGTCTTAAAACACATTTCGGGGTCAGCAAAGTATCTTGGCAGCATGAGAACAAATCAGTGTGCACTTGTCTTCCTCCTCTTCATTTCCTCTCCCTCCAAGACGTGACAAAACTTGGAAAAACTCAATTTTTTTTCTGCCAAAATGAGAATACTGTTAAAACTGCCCAGACCTCACCATGTCTTAATCAGCCAAGTTCTGATACAACATCAAAGCAGGACAACACAACCCTGCCAAAAAAAATGTATCAGGCTTTAGGGATTGAGAACTTTCAGTCAAGCAAGAGGAAGAATAATTTCTTTTCTTGCCCTCAATGAAATCCCAGGATCCCCGAGGCTGGAAAAGCCCTCTGGGATTCCTGAATCCCCCCTGTGCCCGATGCCCACCTTGTCCCCCAGCCCAGAGCACTGAGTGCCACGGCCAGGCCTTCCTGGGACACCTCTAGGGCTGGGCACTCCAAACCTCCCTGGGCAGCCCCTGCCAAGGCCTCACCACCCTTTCCAGGGACAAATTCCTCCTCCTGTCCCACCTTGAGCCTCCTCTGGCCCAGCTGGAGGCCGTTCCCTCTCCTCCTGTCCCTTGTTCCCTGGCAGCAGAGCCCGACCCCCCCGGCTCCCCCCTCCTGTCAGGGGGTTGCAGAGCCAGAAGGTCCCCCCTGAGCCTCCTTTTCTCCAGGCTGAGCCCCCCCAGCTCCCTCAGCTGCTCCTCCCAGGACATGTTGGTCCATTCCCACGGGGATGAAAGCCAGACACATCCTGGGATGTCCCAACAAAAGCTTGGCAGCAGCTGAGTGACATCCAGCCCTGGGTGACATCCAGCCCTGAGTGACATCCAGCCTGGAGAGGAGAAGGTGAAGACCCAAATTCCTCCCCTCACACCCCAAGGGGATGGTCCTGGAGGAGGCAGGGCCAGTGTCTCCATGGAGGGGCTCAGCCAAGTGACAGGAGGCCACAGGCACGAGGTGCAGGGAGGGAATTTGTTCCTGGGAAAGATGTTTTCCCGAGGGGTTTGGGCAAACTGCAGGACAAGGCCCCGGAGTGGAGCAGGTGAACTTCTGCTGAGGGGCTTGGAGCGACCTGGGCCGGTGGGAGGTGTCCCTGCCCATGGCAGGGGGGGAACAAGATGGGCTTTGAGGTCCCTTCCAACCCAAACCATCCTGGGATTCTGTGATCTCGTTGTGTCCCAGCTTCTCTCTTGTGTGGAAAACACTTCCCAGGTCAGGATTGAACTTCCTGAGGCTCAAATATTCATGAAATGAGAAGTGCCCCAAAAAGTTTTCCTGGAGGTCTCCAAGCCCTGCCCAACATGGTGTGAGCTCACACCAGGCCCTACCCTGAGCTCCCTTCCCACCTGGATGTTCAAATAATCACGAAACAAGAAGTGACTTCACAAGTTTAACTCCGTTTAACAAATGAACTCCAGTGAATCCAGGATATTGCTCCATTGAATCCAGGATATTAATCCATTGAATCCAGGATATTAATCCAGGCTGTGGATTCCTGCAGGGAAGCTGTGCTGGGACACAAACACACATGGATGGAGCAGGCACAGCTCCCATGGACTCCACACATGGATGGAGCAGACACAGACTCCTCCTCTGGAATGAAGCATCCCTGCAAAAATGGCAGGATTGCTCATCCATCTGCTCAGTCAGGCTTTTATCTCCCTGGCTCTTTGATCCCTGTCTCCCAGACCGTGGGCCACCAAACAGAATTAGTCAGGGAAAACACATCAGGAATAAAAAGTTTTCCTGGAGGTCTCCAAGCCTTGCCCAGCGTGGTGTGAGCTCACACCAGGCCCTGCCCTGAGATCCCTTCCCACCTGGATATTTCTTCCAATCCTGGAATATTCTCACATACAGAATCATGGAATGATTTGGGTGGGAAGGAAACTTAAAGACCATCTCATTGCTGGGTGTTGCTTTTCTCCTGATGCTGATTCCTCTGGAATATTTACTTCTAAAAAGCAGTTAAAAGGGAAGCCCTGCTGTGTTTCACACACTTTGATCTCGCCTTCATTTCTTTTAATGGATCAGATTTTTTCTGAGCACCTCGTGAACCGAAATCTTGGTCGTTACAAAGAGATCTCCACCCCCCCCTTTCCTTCCAAAGAACAGCAAAGCAGCTAATTAAGCAGAGCACATGTAAAAAAACAGACACCTGCCACATGGCATGGCAGGATAATAAATCCTCTGCTTTTAAAAATTAGCAGCGTTTCCAAAATTAGAGCCCGAACCTGAAGCCTCTCTGCTGGTATTTGCATTTAAATTGAAAATGGGGATGCATCTGCTCTTGTAAGTGCCAAATAATTGCTTGATATTAAAAAAAAAATTGGAGAAGGTGCTTGACATCTTAATTGTTCTGAGAGCTGCTGGAAGTTTTTTTTTGAAAAAAACTTGCAGCTAAAACCATGTTGACAGAAGGAAAATGAACTGTTGGGGAAATGCTGAGAATCTGAGTCTTTTCTTAGCCACCTTTTGCTTCCAGTCTGTCTGGGGATAGGAAGGGAACAGGCAGGGGCAGCAGCACTTTTCTCTCAGCTCTCTCACAGAGCATCCTTTCCTCGTGGAAAAGGTTGTCAAGGACTGGAATGGGCTCCTCAGGGAAGTGGTGGAGTCACCAGTCCTGGAAGTGTTCACAAAACCTTTGGCTGTGGCACTGCAGGAGGGGGTTTAGTGCTGATGCTTTGCTGGTTGGACTTGATGACCTTAAAGATCTTTTCCCACCTTAATTCTTCTGTGATTCGATGATTCCAAACACCCTGTTGAAGAAATTGGAATTTTGAGAGCAGCCAATGTTGGTGCATCCTCGCAAAAAGCTCTGTGTGTGTTTATGCAGTTCTTTTATTTTTTAATGATTTTTTTTTTAATTATTTTAGATT